CGGTGGTGGGAGGGGAGTGTTGTGCGACCTCTGAGACGGTGGGGCTCGGCTGTGGCTGTTTAACAGCACAGCTGGCCCCTCGGTGGTGGGAGGAGAGTGTGTTGTGAATGCTGTTGTCAGGGTGTGGCCTGTCTTTGTGGTCAGGTAAGAGGGAAGGGTGCTTGGTTGAGATCCACAAAGGGGCAGAGCTGAGGTCAGCCCAGCAAACAAGAGGTTGGGAGTAGGCAAATCTTCCCCGAGGGGTCAGTGGGGAGGAGGGGGAGAAGGGGTTCTGTTCACTTCACTCCTTCTGACCTATTCTTCCTCATATGGAAATCCCACTCTTAGAAAGCACTGAGTTCTGTGACTGACATGAAGACAAGGGCAACTCCAAGGGGCATCTGTGCCCAGTAGAAGCTTGAAGGGCCAGCTGGGTGTAATGAGGGGGTGTTTCCAGGAGAGCTTTGTGGAGGCACCTTGCCACTGTGACAATGGCTATTTTGGGGGAAAGGGCTGTCTTGGGTGGTGAGCTTCGGAAACAAGCTCAGCATTTACAGGAAGAGGCCCCAGCACAGGAAGGGCAGATTTGGCATAGCTGAACAGCGGAGATGACCCATATGGTGTGCGAGCAAGTAGCGAAGTAAGGAGACTGTGGTTACCCCTCTGAGAGCTTTAATTTTAGTCCCTGCCCTCACTGTAGGAGACCCAGAACCAAGGAGCACCTGATTTCGTAGACAAACTCCAGTTGCGTAGCTCTGACAGACTGGTCAGAGAGGCAGAGCCGTGCGCTGCAGACATCACGGGAAAGGAGCTTCTGCGGATTCTACATACCACTGAGAGGTGGAGTCCTGCAGACACTACGGGGGTGGTGCCCGCTGAAGGATGGAAGAGCGGCCAGTCTGTTGGGAAGTCTGGTAGGGAAGGCCCATAAGGCCTCCGCCTCCAACGTGATCTGGGAGCGCATGCGCACTAGCACACTTTCGCTTTCTTTCAGTGCTGAGACTGAATCCTCCATCTAGAAGTTGTTCTGCCTGCAGGGCACATGTGGTCAGGAGGACTGGGGTGGGCAGGAGATGGAGCAGGCAGGCTCCTCCCTAAGGTTTCCTCAAGTCTGAAGGGGCTGGGGAGACCCTCAGCCAGGCACTTTGCGTTTGTGAAAGACAGTAGCTATCCACTGAGGACCTGTCTGTGTTCATTTGGGGGTAGAGGAAGGGAAAAAACTTCTTTGGCTCTACTCCAGGTCTGGTTTCTGTCCATGGAATCTATGCCTGAGCCATTTACTTATGTCATTTCCAATCTCTCCCCACTCCACCCCCACTTCTGTAAAAGCAAAGAGCCTGCTGCCACCAGGTCACTGTCCCCAGAACCCTCCCAGCAGCTTTCCTTCCCTTCCTTCCCCCCTTCCCTTCCTCCCTCGCTCTCTCCCTTACTCTACCTCTCCTTTTTTTTGTGATGAAGTCTTTTTATGCAGCCCAGGCTGGCTTCAAAGGCCTGACTCACCTGCCTTTGCTTCCGAGTCCTAGGATTTCTAGGCGCTCACCCTCAGGTGTGGCTTATGTCCTTAGCGGCAGGGGGAATCCCTGTGGGTTTGAGTGACACCCAAGCCAGCCAAGGCTACCTAGTGAGACCCTGTCTCACAAACCAAACCAAACCAACCAATAGAATGAACATCTTCTTCTGGTCTGACTACGGTGGCTCTCAGGCAGCAGGTTCTGTCCGTCCCTGGGCTCTGACACACTGAGGCCCACTGGGTGTGGGCATATTTTACCATGTTTCAGGCCCCCGAGAAGCCTCTTTTGCTTCTGTTGGGACACAGGAGGCCCCAACTCTAAAATGCTGTATGTTATCATCCAGGTGGTGATGGCGCACACCTTTAATCCCAGTGCTGGGAGGCAGAGGCAGGTGGGTCTCTATGAGTTCGAGGCCAGCCTGGTCTACAAAGTGAGTTCCAGGACAGCAAGGGCTATACAGAGAAACCCTATCTCCAAAAAAAAAAAAAAAAAAAAAAAAAAAGATAGTGTGTCTGTAGCCTGTGGAGGCTGATCCCAGCACCTGATGCCTAAGTAGGATACCAGGACTTACAAACTTCCTACCTGGTGGTGTGTCCGCTGCTTGGGTCCTGGTTCACCTCCCTTGGCCGACTGGGGGCTCCTGTGGAAATCACAGGAGGCTCTTCCTTGTGTCCAGCTGGTAACTGCTCTCTTGGCTTCTGATCCAAAACTGCTGAGGAGAAGACAGAGCTCAGTACACACCTGCCCTGAGCTTCCAAAGATATTCTTTCCTGGGCTGCACAACCAAGGAAGGTGGGACCTGAGGCTCTTGCATGCTGTTTCCCGGGCTTCTGGTCTGGGCATATTAAGTCTGCGACTTAAGACCTTGCGGGCAGGGGTCACAGAAAGAGAGTTGTCGCCTACTGCCTACATAGCCTTCAGTCTCCTCTGCCTCTGGGGAAGCCAAGAGTCATGGAACTGTCTCCCTGGGCTCACGGCCACATCTCCACACAAAGCCTGTCCTTGGAATTGCTAAGTCTGGCAGCTTTATATTTATAGAAATGGAGCTGGGCAGCCGGGTATCTGCCCGAGGATACCTTCGGGCTGAGCCCTCAGCATGCTCACAAGCCTGGCGAGTGGTCACGGACATCTGAACATTACGCTGAGCTTCTGTGGGGTCCTGGAGACAGGTCCATGTTGTCTCTGGCCCAGTCAGTGTCATGGCGGCACTATGACACCCTGGGTCTAGGCTTGCTGCTGCCTTGATCCAGCTTCCTTCTAGTCTCCACATAGAAAATGCCTCTGTCCCCACCCCTGAGGGGTGACTAGTGAATCTTTTTCTCCTCCCCTCTTCCCCCAACTTTCTTTGTGTAGCCCTGGCTGCCCTGAAATTTGTTCTGTAGACCAGGCTGGCCTGCAGAGATTCCCCTGCCTCCGCATCCCAGTGCTGGGAGTGCTGGGATTAAAGACATGCACCACCTAGTCAACCCTTTTCATCTTTAAAGTCTTCATTCCAAATTAAACATAGAGGAATCTGCCCTGCATTTCCCCTCAAGTTCAGAGCAAGAGGCTTCTATTGACCCAATCAAGAAATCCATTTCTGATATGGAGCCCAAAAGGTGTCTAGTCAATCTGGGCCTGACTCCCTTCTCTGAGGGACCATGGCTGGGCTTGTCCATGCTCTCTGATCAGTGTGCTGGGACGGAGACCAGGGAGACAAAGGCTTGGCATTCTGAGTAAGATCTGAGTGGACACACACTCAGGCGCTGGCTCTCCATTCACACTTTTCCAAGGTGACTACCAGGACAGGAAAGACCTCCAGGACCTGGGCTTCCTGGGGTCAGGGTACAGGAACAGAACAGTGACAGCAGCAGAGAGGGGCAACAGTGAGCTCTCTGCAGCCCCCACTGAGGCTTTTGTTCCGTCCTTACTGTGGTAGTTGCTCTTGTGTATGTGTGTTTGGTTTTTTTTCGAGACAGGGTTTCTCTGTGTAGCCTTGGCTGGCCTAGATTCACTTTGTAGACCAGGCTGGCCTCGAACTTATAGAGATCCATCTGCTTTTGCCTCCTTGAGTGCTGGGATTACAGGCATGTGCCAACACACCCAGCTCCTGTTGTTTAGTTTTGGTAATTATATGTGTGTGCCTGAGTATGTGTGCCTGTGTACCGTGTGCATGCAGAAGCCTTCAGAGGTTGAAGACCTGGAACTGGAGTTTACAGGGGTCTGTGAACCACCACGTGGGTGCTGGGAAGCCACGTCATCTCAGCCAGTCCAGTTTTTTGTTTTTCTTTTGAGACAGGTTTTCCCAGGCCTGGAACACACTATGCAGACCAGGCTAACCTTGATCTCAGAGAGCTCTGCCTTTCAAGGGCTGATATTAAAGGTGTGCACCACCACACCAAGCTGGTGGTTTTGTTTTTGTTTTTCCAGACAGGGTTTCTCTGTGTAGCTGAGATCCACTGGCTCTAATGGTTAGTTTGAATTACCAACTTGACACCGGAAGGGAGTCCCAGTGTGGGTCTGTCTGTGGAGATCCTTGGTTAATAGGAAGACTCTGCCACTGTGGGTGGAACCATTCCCTAGACAGGGTATCCTAGATCGTATAAGACTGCAGAAAACAAGCCGAACACTGGCATGCGTGCATGCTGATTGCCCTCTGCTCTTGCATACGGGTGTGAAATGACTGGCTGTGTCCAGTTCCGGCTGCCTTGACTTCCCTGTGGTGATGGTTTGCCATCAGAAATTGTGAGCCAAATAAACCTTTTTTCCCCTTAAGTTGCTTTTGCCAAGTATTTTTATTGCAGCAACTAAGGCAGCCCAGTTGTCTGGTCACTTCCATGCTACACTGTGAACTCTGGGGTCCCCTCAATAAAATGGGCCTGTGGACAGAGTCAGGATCTGGAAGGGAAGGGCAGCATGGACGCACACTGGCAGCTACCAGGATACATGGACAGGTGTGTCTCCTCTGTGGCAGGTCCATTTCAGTCCGGGCTGGGCACCTGAACCCAGTACTGGCTCAGCTGTGTAATTTTTTTTTAAGGTTTCAGGATGTAGCCATAGCTGGACCTGATACTCACTTGTTATGTAGATCTGTCTGGCCTTGAACTTGAACCAAACATCCTACCTCTGCCTCTGAGTACTGGGAATACAAGGGTGGGCCACCACACTGGGCTTAATCCGTGTGAGGCTGACATTCACGTTGTGTCTTGGTGGCTGGGGAAGAGCTTTCCTCAGGCCAATTAGCGTCCGGTGGGAAGAAATGAAACAAGATAGGATGGGGGCAGGGGGAGCTTGAACCAGTACTCCCTCAGGCCCAGGCTGATGAGAGCTGCAAGACATGGGGCTGGTGGCCAACAGGCTTTAATGTACTTGGAACCTGGGTGGCTGTGGATGGGCCAGGTTGAAAGCTAGGAGAGGAAAGGTGAAGAATCAGAACACATGCAAACCAAATGCCTCAACTAAACAGCCAAGGCCTGGCTAGCAGCTGATGAGGGAGACAGGGCTGAGAAGACAGGAGTGATAAGGTCTACATGGAAGTGGGAACCAGTGGGGAGCCAGGGCTGGGTAAGCAGGGACAGAGTAAGGGGCTGACACTTGGAATACTATCCCGGCACTTAGAGCAGGCTAGCTCTGTCCCTGTTCTAGGTGGCCTCTGGGGCCAGGGCCGGGTATGCAGCTGCTGCCACACTAGGAAGAGGCCCTGGGACCTTCTGGTAAGGCAGAGTGCCCCAGTGGGCAACCACTGAATTCTCGGCAGAAACTGGAATTTGCTACGGCTGAGGCTGATTCATACTCACTTGTATTCTCATCCCACCTCCCTCTCTCTTCTTTCTTTCTCTCTCCACCTGCCTCACCTTCCTTGACAGGGTCTGTGTAGATCAGGTTAACTTGGAACTTACAGTCCTGCCTTGGCTGTGGTCCGGTGTGCTGGGGGATGGTTGTGAGCTACTAGATCCTTGACCTGAAGTCAGCTGTTCTTGAGGGTTAGTAAATATCCACATTGATTGTGGCAACGGTCGCCAGTGCCACCTAGCCACTTCTATGCATGAGAGGCTCACGTACCCCTAACTCCAGCAGCATCCAAGAGATAGGACGTGGTGCCAGGGGTGTGACTCAGTGGTAAAGCACATGATTGCCATGTATGAGGACTGCAAAACAAGGAGCATCCAAAGAGACCCTCATCCTTTGATCTGCATAACCACATACATCTCTGGATGGCTGAGCTAATCGCTCATGGTGTTGGGCTTACAACTGCAAATGTAGGCCAAATAGCCAACGACCAATGGCAAACCTCTGAGTGCCCCTGAGTCCTTGGGTTTGGTGACTAGCTGGTTCCACAGAATCTGGGCATGGGAGCTTTTGACTCCAACCACCCATGAGCTGATGTTTCTCTTCCTGAGAGCTGATTTGTTACTCTATGACTTTTCCTCTTTGAATGGAGATTAGAGTCTTATCTGGCCTGCTCACAATCCTTTCAATTTCCTTTTGAAAATTAAAAAAGAAATACTCCGTATATTTCTGGTTCAAATGCTTTTTTTTTTCCCCTTCCTGGCATCTAAAAAATACTTTCATGCCCCACCAGTTTCTGTTTAACTCCACTGACTAGATGCTTCAAAGCACATTTTGACCTCAGGGCTGTTTGTGTGCCCAGCTGCACATTCTAACACATGGCTGAACCCTCAGCATGAAACTCTGCGGTACTGAAACTTGTCATAGGTCTGTATTGGGATGGTTTGGGTAAGGTTGGGCACGTCCCCCGAAGGTTCATTTGGCCATGTGGAGGTGATGGGACCTGTAGAGATGGGGTCTAGGAGAAGGAGGTGTTACCTCCTAATGGAGGATGCTGATGTAGTTACTGTGGGAATCTCATCAGTTCCCTCAAAAATGAATTGCCACAAAATCAAAAGAGCAACCCTGGCTCCCCCTGCCGCCTGCTTGTCTTGCCATATGCTCTGGATCTCTTGCCTGTACGTGGTGCCATCTACCATGCTACGGCTATGGCACAACCAAGGAGGCCCTCACAAGACACTGAAGCAATGGGACCATTGGGTCTTAGGTTTCCTGTTGGCGGAGGGGCTTGTGCACTGTGTTTTCAGATGCTGATTTCAGTGCCCTGAGATCTGCTAGCTGCCCTGCATTATTATGAATGTTGAACCATCTCCTGTACCCACGTGATATAATTATCCCCAATTATTGCTGATTGGCTAATAAAGATGCCGAAGCCTGTGACTGGGCAGAAGAGAGGTAGGTGGAGTTTAGGTTCTGGGCTCGGGGTCGAGAGACCACAAGGAAGGGAGGAGAGCAGCAGAAGATGTAGCAGGAGGAGAGGAAACCCGAGAGAAAGGAGTTGCCAGGATGGAGGGTGAGCACGTGGCCATAAGGACAGACTGATGGAACGGAAGCAGCCCAGACAGGATGATCTATTGGCAGTAACTTGGGATGTGTAGCTGGGAGATAAAACAAAATAGCTTAGAGGGTTAGTTTCTGCCCAGTTCCTGTGCATTAGGCATATTGAAACCCAGCAAGCTTCTGTGTCCTTATTTTATGTATTAGCATGTTCAGGAGCAACCACTTCCATAATACTTATATGAATCAGAGCAAATATTAATAATCATTTTACAGCTTCCAGCCTCTTAAACTGTGAACTAAATGAGCCTACTTTGAAATAAAGTACCCAGTATCTCCACGAGCTTTGGAGAGAGCAAATTGCTTGTTCTGAAAACATGGGAACTGAGTGTGGTCTCCAGCATGCACATAAAAACCAGGGCATGTCAGTGTGCAGCATGTGCCTGCAATCCCAGTACCAGAGAGGTAGGAACAGCGTGATCTCTGAGGCTTGCTGGCCAGCCAGTCGAGCTGAATCAGTGGGCTCCAAGATCAGTGAGAGACCCTGCCTAAAAACAAAACAAAACAAACAAAAAAACAAACAAACAAGAAGATGGAGAGTGATGAGAAAGACACCTAATGCTGACCCCAGGCTCACACATAAAACACTCAGCCACAGGCATTTTGTTAGAGCCATGGAAAGTGGACTAAGTCAGGCAGCAGAGATTGCTACTCCCAAGTCTCATATGGAACCTAGTTCCAGGAGCGGGATGTGAGCGGGAAACACATTGCTTCAGTGAGTCCTGGAAGACAGCCCAACACCAGATCTGGCAGTGTGACTGGACGGCTGTGATGCAGGACTGTGGCTGAGGCCAGACCTGGCTTTGAGGGAGCAGGCGTGCATCTGCAGGCTGTTGCTTCACTTGGATTCCTGAGCCCGGGAGCTCAGGACCGGCTCTGCACCCACGGTGTTCTTACATGGAGAAGACCTGCCATGCCCAGCGACACCAGGCTTGCCCTCTTTGCAGATGTCCGACTGAATGTCCGACTGCAGGCAACTGCTTCTGGCTTGTTGGGCATCCTGGGGAGAAATGAGATGGTCTCCCAGCCTGCAGAGAAACATGAAAAACTGAATAAGTGCAGATATTTATTTGGTATTTGATAGCTGACTGCATCACAGGGAGACACAAGAAGTGACTGTGCCTGAGATTCTTTAGGGAAATGGACATTTGAAAACATACCTTTGTGTTTAGTTTCGTCTTCTTAAGTTAAAAACGTTACTTCTAGTTAGCGTGCATGCACACGTGTGTGTAGGCTCACATAAAGGTCAGAAGACAACTTGGAGCAGCTGATTCAGCACATGAGAAATGGTGACTGACTTAGATCATCAGGCTTGGTAGTGAGCAAGCATCTTTACCTGCTGGGCCTTATCTATCTACCTGCTTTTTCTTTAAAGATGGGATCTCACGCAGCCCAGGCTAGCTTTGAACACACATAGCTGAGAATGACCTTGAGCTTCTGACCTTCCTACCTCCCTCTTCCAAGTGCTAAGATGACAAATAGAGCCACCATCTGGCTAAACCACCTTTTTAAAGAGTGGTGACAGAAGCCAGCAGGCCTTGAGAGGTGGCAGCTGAACAGCTCACACCTGCTAGAGCCCTTGTGAATCCACTATACTACAAGGGCTAGCACACGCCTACCGTATCAGTACATCTCAGGAGCTGTGGATCACACAAGGTCCCTGACACTTCCACCAAACAAGACACGAGCCTCTTCTACAACGGTAAGGCTGACTGTGCCATCCTGTCACTTCAGCCCTGCACAGAGGCAGGCGAGAGGAAGAGTGAGGCAACTGAATTCTTCTAACACTGAGTGATGCCTGGTGCTGTGCTGGCCCCATGTTCGTGGAGCTGGAGACAGGTCTGGGAGAGCTGTCCCTGAGAGTCGGGCCAAGCCCTCTGGAGGCTCTGTGGGTCAGCCTGGACAGGGCTGAGGAAGCTTCTCTAGTTGTGTGTGACAAAGCGTTCTCTCATTCCAGCTGGGAGACACCTGCCACAGACAGGGGCTCAGAGAGAGCCACAGCCTCTGCCTGCCTAGGGCCACACCAGGGAAAACGGTTCACAATACATAGCAACCTCTCATGGTTCAACAGGACCACAAGGACAAGGAGACACTTAACTGCCCTGTCAGAGCCAAGAGACAACTCAACATGGTGCTGGGGATGCAGTGAGTTAGAGGTGGGCTTGGGGTGACCCTCAAACATAGATTTGAGACCCATGGGAGATGGAGGAGCCAAAGAAATGACATTCTGCATTAGGAGAATCCCTCAGTGGTCATGGTGGGTACGGGATGGCAGGAGAGGAGGATGGAAAGCCAGGAGGCTGAAGTGAAGGCCTGGAGGACAGGAAAGGTGAAGGGTGCGGTTTTGGCTGGCCTGTTTCAGGGGTTCTTGTCAGTCCCTGAGGTCACGCTGATCCCAAGACACTGGCAGGGGTGCTGTGAGCACATCTACCAAGTTCGTGTTGGGCTGGGTGCCATCAGTGAGCAGAATGGGGCGAAGGCCCCAGATTAGGGCTCCAGACCCCATCTAGAACACGGCATCTAGGAGGAAGCAGGAGAACGGCAGGAGGCCAGTCCACTGTGGCAGAGACAGGGGTGGGACAGCCACTGGGAAGGGGTTGAATTAATAAATGCAAGAGGGTGCCAAGAGTTGGGAGGGGTTAAGTCACCTGTGATCCTGGGAGTCACTGGCTGAGCATGCAGGGCTGTGAGGTCCAGACTGGTGGAAGTAGTGGGAGGAAACCACACACTCCAGTGTACAGAGAGGCTAGAGGAAGAAGTTGGGGAGGGGTAGAAGACAGCCAAAGGGGACATAAGGTGCAGAGAGGGCCACAGAATACAGGAGGGTTAGTTAGGCCTATGTGTCTAGGAGTCAGGTCCGGCAGGCACCGCCAAGACAAGGCTGAGAGAGGGTGGAGTCCTGTGCCCATGTTTACCTCGGCCTTTCTATTCTAGATGATAACAGCAGTGTTTATCACGAAAAATTAGATAGTACATAGGTTGAGTAGCAAAGTCCCTACCACTATATTCACAGGTGAACACTTACCTGTGATATGTTTTCAGGGTGTATATGGGTGGGAATGTGGCTCAGTTTGCAGACTTCCTGCCTGGCATACAGGGAGCCTGGGTCTGAGCCCCAGCCCTGCACGAACCAGGCATGCTGGTACGTGTCTCTGATCATAGCACTGAGAAGATGCAGGCAGTGAAGTTCATCCTCTGCCAACTAGCAGCTTCCAGGCCAGCCTGAGCTAGATGAGGCCTTATTTCATTGTGGTACGTGTCTTCAAGCCCAGCCCTCGGGAGGCAGAAGACAGTCTGAGTTCACAGTGATCCCTGAGTTCAAGGTCAGTCTAGTCTACATACAAATTCCAGGCTATCCAGGGCTGCAAACTGAGACCCTGTCTCAAAAAAAGGCATGAACCACCACACCTGGCTTTTGTCTCCAGGTGGGGGTGGGAGCGGTGGTGGAGGCAAACGTGTACTTAAAGAACCTGGGACTAATGGCCAGTCTGGCTATACACACACTGCTTTAGAGTTTGCCTTTGCATTCAGCAACACACTGTCACATTGTGAGGGCCTTTCCATGTCCTTAACTATTCTGAATGCTGCTATGTATTTCCAATACTGTTCTTGCTGATTACCATGACTTAGGTAGCCAGCCTTCTACTGTGGGCACGTAGATAGTTTTCGTAATCAGTCCAGGTGCAAGCTGACCCAGAAAGTGCCAGCTCCTTGGATCTGTGGGACACACATTAACTAAGTATCCTAGAAGAGCGAGGAGTCAGGATTCGTCTGAAAGTAATGCAGGGCTGCCAAGGGGCTGGTGACTGTGAATGGGGAATCAAATTCCCTGAGCGTAAGTTCAAAGCCGACGTGGAAATTCTGACCAGAGCCCCTCACGGCCCTCAGGGGGCTGGGGGTTTTCTGCATACTGTCACGTTCTTGTGTCACCCTGAGCAGATCTTGCCATGTCTTTTCTTGCTCCGAGGTTTGCTCTGAGTGCTTCTGAGGGTAGGAACCACACCTCACTTCGTGTGAGGCCCCCAGGACTGAGTTTACAACGTGTCAGTCATACAAACAAAAACTGTTGAACCTGGAAGTGGTGGCGTACACCTGTAATCCCAGCACTGAGGTTGAGGCAGGAGGACAGCAAATTTGAGGCCGGCCTGGGCTACAAAATGAAATCCTGACTCAAAAAAAAAAAAAAAAAAGTTGTTGTGTCTCCTGGGCAGCCATAGCTTCATGGAAGGAGGGACTGCAGATCCGGGAAGTGCTCTCGCAGCTTGGCAGGTCCATCCTGGCCAAACACCTCCTGATATGACCTCCAGCAGGGAAGCCAGCTTAGCTCACACACTGGGAAACCATGCACAAGGGTCTCTCTACAGAGCAGGTGGCCACGAATGAACAGTGCCCCTTGGTCAGGTGTTAAATTTGTTAGATTCACAGTCACTTCTCATTAAAATATCCTTAGGTCATGGTTGTCTTGCTGTGAAGCCAAGGTTTTAGTTCTTTTTCTAAAAATTTAAAAAAGATGTTTTTTTTTCTTTCCCATGTCCGACAGGAATTTCACTCATTCCTCTTCCTCCTTCCATAAACGGGTCATGTTTATGAACTGACTAAGATTCACCTCTCGTTATTTTCTAGATCTAAACAAAGAGCCCCTCAAATCTAAGCGATGAACTGGAGGGCGAGAAGGGCATGCGGGCACAGTTCAGACTGCTCTTAACTTGTAGGTGTGGCAACATGGTTGCTCTCTTTACGGTGCGCTGCCTGCTAATCACCACAGTGTCTGCACATTTACGGGTACAGGGCGACCTTTCAGCACATGGACACAGGCACTGACTGTACCGAGGCAACTGTCGCAGCTATCCGATGTGGGTGTTCTTCCTCCTAGGAGGTATGTGTTGACCTATATCTCTTTAGCGTGATGGTCTCTCTGTTTCCCTGCAGGTGGAAAGTGCTGGTTATGTGTGAGAGGGAAGAGGACAATATACTAAGTTGTGTATCAATAACTTAAAATAAAAGCCTAGAAACAGAAGCATAAGAGCTAGAAACACAGAGCCCCGAGCACCAATCCATGGTGTGGGTTGTGATGTATCACACAGCAAATTCCAGATGTGTTCCAAAACTTGCAAGAGCTGGTGCTGGACCCTGGTGCTCCTGGCAGCTGCGTCACGGAGCTCACAAAGACAGGTACTTCCATCCTGTTGGCTGCTTAATGCCTCCTTCTTTACCGTAAAGTTACCACACAGTAAAACTGGGAATAATAAAACTCCAGCAATAGGGGCTAAGGAAGACACAGTGTAGCCATTAACATATACTAAAGTCACTGCTTGCTGAGAACTGGAGGCTTTCAGCCAGCTCCCTATGACCTTCTATTCACACACTCCTGTTTATAGTTTTCCCTAAACCGGAAAACACAGGTCATGAAGATCCCAGAAGGGACTCTTTGACTAGTGGTGAGGCCTTTCAGGAGGTCCAGAGGCCCAGGTAACCTGACTGAAGTTTTATTTTTCTGTCAAGATGTAGAAACCAGGCTACAGAGAATGAACAGTGCCTGGCAGCTAAAAAATGGACATGATTGCTTTCCTTAATATTTTTTTTCCTGTGTTGGGAATAGAACCTAGGCTTCACATATGTCCCAGGCTACATCGTTGGTCTGAGAACCTCATCTGAAATAAGAGCTGTGACACTCCAGTCCCAGCACTGGGCCTGATGTTAAGAGAATAGGCCACAGGAATGTACAATAGGACAGGAGGTCAAACTGGGTGAACTCACCATTGCTCAGCAACTTTCCTCTGAAATGGCCAGCACTGGTCTTTGGATGTGGCCCTGGAATTCTAGTCATACTTATTCTCCTTCTGGAAGAAACCTAAGTGTGTATGGGGGGGGGCGGGTTAGACCTCAACTGTTTCCCTCCAAAAATCCTCAAGAGATAAACAATAGAGAAATGCTTTACAGTATGAATGCTTTATTATGCACTTTGAGACATTTTACACAGCAGTTAATCAAGCAAAGCTCAAGAAAACAGACTCCCGCCTCCTGTATCCCGGACTTACACTGGGCACCCCGTCCTGTGGCCACCAGGGGTGACTGGCCGACGCAGGGGCTCATCCCCACTCCACTGTACACTGGCCAGCCCTTTCCTCCGTGCCTTCCCTGTGTTGGTCATGATCTGGTGGAAGGAGAAAACAGGTTTGAGACAGCATGTCCCTAAGAGCCCATCTAGAAGCAGAGTGGACTAAATGCAATAGGCTTCCAGGGATAAGATGTTATACAAGCTAGGCTCAAGGGCACCTGTATCCTAGCACTTAGGAGGTAGGAAGATCGGAAGTCAGTTACATGGCAAGTTAGAGACCAGCCAGGGCTACATGAAACTCCATCTCCAAAATGAATGAATGAATGAATGAATGAAGCTAAAACAAATCCAGGATCTCTGACTTCTGAGTTTGAGGCCAGCCTGGTCTACAGAGCAAGTTGCAGGACAGTTAAGGCTACACAGAGAAACTCTGTCAAAGAAAGAAAGGAAGAAAGAAAGAAGGAAAGAGAGAAAGAAAGGAAAGAAAGAAGGCTACACAGAGAAACTCTGTCAAAGAAAGAAGGAAGGAAGGAAGGAAGGAAGGAAGGAAGGAAGGAAGGAAAGAAAGAAAGAAAGAAAGAAAGAAAGAAAGAAAGAAAGAAAGAA